TTGATATACATATATATTGAATTGTATATAAAATATTGAATGATATATTATATAAGGCATTAACAATGTTTCAATGAAATTATTCACTTTTAAATAAAAGATGCACACTTATAGAACATTAAACAGCATCTAAAATAAGAGGATTTCTCATGAATAAAAAATCAAATGAGGAAAGAAAATCAAAAAAAGTAAAAAAAAAATCAAACTAAATATAGTCATTATTTTCAATTGTATTAATGATTCATATAAGTTTGACCTTCCCCCTTATTTCCTTTTCTCGGTTAAGTTTATTGTTGTAATGATTGTTGTCATCCATTACACGCGTTTCAATACTATTATTTTTTTTTGCCTTTTCCTCAGTATTTCCATTTTAGAATCACTTTTAATTCATTTGACGGCTGTTAAAAGTAACAAAAATAATGTAGAAGAGGAGAAAAACTGGATGAAAAATCGGATTTAGTTGATGTTTTTAAATGTTTTTCATACATGCTCGTTTCTCTTCTCAATTTTATTTTGTTTGAGGATTTTTTTCCTTTTTGTTTTTGTTTATTTTTTTTCATAATGTATTATATTTTTAGTTTTTGTGTTTATTTGCTTCTGTTATGAACATATGGTCCCTAAAATGAAATAAGAGATGTGGTTGTAGAATCTGACTTTATAAAAAATATTAGTTAAGTATGTACATACATACATTGATATAATATGTACAAAAATACATACGAAATTGGGTTGCCATCTTCTAAAAATGTAAAAAAGAAGGTTGAATACAAAATGAAAAACTTCTACTAAAAGATGGAATAGAAATTTACGAAAATTTTAGTCAATTTCAATCTACCAAAAAGTAACTATTAAAGGTTGTTGTGGTCATAGATCATTTATTATATTTTATATGATTTATTATATTTTTCAAATTTTATAACACATTTAAAAATTTTTAAAAGTATGCTTGAATTTTCGATTGAACTAAAATAAAATTGATCGCAGTATTGCATTCGCTTTGCATTTATAATGATTCTGTGATAAAAATTTAAAGAACTTAAAACCCTATAAATTTTGTAATATCGTGAAGCTTATTAATGCAATAAACAATGTGAATTGATGATCTAATTTTCGAAATGTTTCTTGTTGGAAAAAAAATAAAATAAAATAAGAGAACGAATAAATAATTTTTATATTTTATAAAGTAAATAATTGCCATGAATATATTTTTCTGGTAGCAGAGAGTTAGTCAAGAATTTCGCTTAAATCATATTAGAGGACACATGTTATTAACACAAATATTCATACATACATATATTTATATAATATAAGTATAAGAAGTAATATTTATATGTAGTGCTTATTTACATAAACATATGTTTTCACATTTAATATGTAATATTTATGTAAATATGCTGTACTAAATGTGAATAAACCTAAAAAATTAAAAATGAAAATCCAAAAAGAGTTTTAAATCAATTTTTAAAAAAAAGAACGTTTTGAGAACTAAAATATTTCTGCCGCTTTAATATTTGAGACTCCATCATAGAGGGTATTAAAAAAATTATCACTTGTTTTATATAAGTTTTATTATCTGATTTATTTAATTTTATTAAATTTGAACGACTTTAATATTTATTCAACTAATTGAATAATTGCAAAAAATGCTTATTTTTTGTTATAAATTTATGGATGTGTCTGTTATAATGTACATTATGTGTTCCATAATAGGGGATGTAAATTTACCGTGTATGCTTATATTAATGTGACTGCATATTTAACATAGTAACTACATTAATATATACCATCAATTTAACATGTGCATAGTGTTCATATAGACTAAACACTACGAGTTCAAAATTATTTCGATTTAATATTTTGTACAAAAAGTTTGTGTCTTATTTAAATAAAGTTGGGTCAAACCAGTGGTTTGTATTGTAGCACTTTTCCCTTCAACAAGTGAAAATTCTGCTTTTAAATACAGTCTATGTATACCTATCACACTATTAAAATTATTTTCATTCATATACAAAACTATTCCATGGATTGCATATATTTAGAATGATGCATACATGCAGTCTTTGAAATAAAGCAAAAATTAATATAAAAAGGGGTTAACATAATGCTCGATTTTAAGAGTTAATTGTATGAGTTAAGGAAAATAATTATATTTTTTAATGTCATGGAATTTACCGTTAGCTTTTTGCGTTTATAGAAATTTGAAAAAACGTGCGATTTCGGAAATATAAGGTGTCAAAAATTCAAATTTTACAAATTTCAAGGGGCGATAACTTGAGAGGGGGTGGAGATGGAAAAAAATTTTCTTCTAACGAAATGAACTATTTGTTTATGTCTAAAAGTCCCCAAAATTTCAAGCTTCTACAGGCTGGGGTCTAGAAGAAAAACGACATCAAAAATTTACCGCGCTAGTGAAAGCAAGCCGCTGCCTTTCTGCGTTTGCAAAATTTCAAAAATGCTTATGGTTTCATTGCAACAAATAGTTAAAAAAGGCCATTTTTAAGGTTTTGGGGGGGTATAACTTTTGGAGGGGGGGAGATAAGTAAAAATTTTGTTCTACGGAAGTAAGTTTCTAGTAAAGATCTATGTACATATAAAATTTCAGCTTTCTATCTTCAAGGGTGTAGAAGTTTTGTAAACAAAAAAAGTGTCCACGGACGGACGGACGGACGGACGGACGGACGGACAGAGTGAAACTAATAAGCACTTTTTTCAAAAAATTTTTTGGAAAAGTGCTAAAAAGAAAGTAGACTAAATAAATTTTATATTTATTTCATAAATGATTAAAATATGCATTGATTCATGTTTTTATTGAAATTTAAAGGCTACTGTGAACTATAAATTGATAAGACTTCACTCGTAGGTGATTTGTTTTGTTACAATTTATTTAGTTAATTTTGAATTTAGCCAAACCTAAAACAAAAAATTGTATTGTTTAATTTTTTATTTTGTATTTTACAACTTACAAGCAGCAATCGAGTTTCGTCGAGGAATCTTACGAATTTAAATCCTTTAAAATTTAATGATAACAACGTAGCTAATTTTGTGATGATATTCTTATCATTGTTTTAAATTCATTTATTCAATATTTGTTATTATGTTGCATGCGATTGTATTGAGAGCACATTACATTTCATATCTTCATATCATATTAACAGTTTTCACTAATTAATTTAAATAGATTAATGAAAGTAATGAAGTGTTTTTAAAAATCAAAATTTTAGAAATACGTGATTATATGTTTCATGTAGCATGGCTGTCCTTTACATTATTATTCAAGAAAAGTTTAGAAAAGCAAAAATGGGTTGGGATTGGGAAATCAGATTAAGAAGAAATAATCTAGTGCGTAGTATATGCCTTAGAAGTAGCCAAATAATCTATGCAAAAATTAATGAAAATATAATATGCATAATTATGTGTATAAAATTAACTTTCAATGTTATATTTTATTAGATAGAATTGTAGACAATCTCCTATTTATTATTAGCAAGTAAAAAATTTATTTGAGAAGATAAATAATTTTTTCCCCCAGTTTAAGGGAAAATTCTTTAGTAGTAATACAAGAAGTAGAAATGTACTTATTTTGTACATATATTAATTTTATTTTTGTATATGTATAATATAAATAAAGAATTTCTTAAAAATATTTAAAACATTCTTGTACTTATTTGTTTAATTTTTTATTTAATAACTCTGTTCTTCAATATATGTATATACATTGCTAAAATTTTAAATGTCTATGATGGCTATGCCATATGATCAATTTCAATTAAAGAAATTGGTGTTCTCATTGATGTTCATATTGCTAGATTTTAAAAAAAATTTAATTGTGATGACAAAAAAATTATAATTAATTTCAATATTTTTGTAATTGAGTCACAATTTTAAATTTCGTAATTCTTATATCATTCACATTCATAATATTTATATAGATACAAAATTTTTATTTTTTGAAAACTATTTTAGATAATTCCGTATAAGACATCTACGGAATATTTCGAAAGTTTTGTTGCGATAAAAGTTGAAACATTAAAAGTAAAAAGTTGTTGGTGCCATAAGGGCTCTGTTTTAACTTTGTTTTTAATTTTAATATTAATAAATAATTAAAAGAAGTTTGATATAAAAATATTTTACTTAATGTAAGGAAGCAATTTTAAATGTTTACAATCTCCATTTCACTTAAAATTTTGATTAGAAACCATATATCATGCAACACTTTATTTGTACATTATGTAAATTTCATGTATAGCAAACTTAATGAATGTATCAAATTTTTTAATATTCTCTAAAATCAATATCTTTCTTCGTCCCAAGCTATTGAATATTTTTGGTTTTCTAAAATTTATAATATTTTAAAATTTTATTTACCATATTAAGTATTGAAGATATATAAGTGTTTACATGTTTGTATGTTAATGATTTTCGGCTTTAAACAACAATTTATTGTATTTTAATGTTCTTTTTATAATTTAATAGATTTTGTACATAACTTTGACTATATTTTTGTTTTATTGTACAATAATATTTGCATACATGTTTTTATTTTTCTTAACTTTTTGTAAATTTTTCCGTTTAAGTGTCTGTTGTAATATTTCAATTTTATAAATTTTTCTAACTGTTTTTGCAAATACATTTTGAATATTTTATTTAGATTTAATATAAAACAGAATGTAGATGCTTAAATTTAATTTTTAACTAAAAATGTGAAATTATTAATCGCAAAATTTTATAAATAATTAAATCCTATTTTATGTTTTCTCACTCAATTTTAGCAAACAACTAGTTTACTCATTTCCACATAAATATTTGGTTTCCAAAGAAAAACTCTTAATTCTTATTAATATTTTATGCTAGTGTCATTCAAAATTTACACTTCATTTTTTATGCATAACTTAACTATAAACAGTACTTACATGATATAAAATTTGTTACCTTTAATGAGAAAAAAAAAACTTGATTTTTTATTTTGATATTAATGTGTATTTTTTTTCTGTTTTACAAAGATATCCGATTACAATTGAACGAACAGCTGAGATGTTTGGATGTACGAGTAGAATCACAGGTATCCTTTATACAGGAGCTCCAGGATTTTTTTCGGCGACGTGGAGAATTAGAAATGGATTACAGCAAGAGTTTGGATAAACTGGCAAAAACATTACAAATGAGACATAAAGAACAAAAACAAAAGTAATATTATTAATTATATAACATTTTTTCATAAATAATTATATAAAATTTGTTCGTTAACTATTTCAAAAATTATTCTTATTTAATTATAGACGAGAACAATGGCCATTGTTCTCATCATATGCATGCTGGCAGCAATTGCTTAATCAAACAAAATCATTGTCAAAAGATCACGCAACATTGTCAGAAATTTATTCCGTACATTTGGTAGCTAGGTTACAAGCAATCATCGAGGATGTCCAACGAATATACAAAAGAGTAAAAATAACATTTTTTTAAAAACAAATATTACACATGTATTTGGATCAGATAAAATTATTTAACATATTTTTTTTTCCTTGTTGCTTTTTTAGTGCCGAGAAATTGGCTACGAAACTCATGAAGAAATATTACGAGTCCTGCAGGAATTACATACAACAATGAAAACATACCACAGTTATCAAGTAAATATACACAAATATATGCATGTTATGTCTTTTGAAAACGTTTTAATACTCTTTGAACACAACTTTTTCCACTTTTATACATAGTTTCTGTATAGTTAGTTAAAATTACTGTGTAACAGCATATGATAAAGAATTTGAAATTTTGTAATTTAAAAAACATTTTAATGAATTGAAATTACAATAAATTAAAGGTGTATGAAATTTGTAGGCTACTCTTGTATTTCACTTTTTCATTTCAAATTTCTTTCAAATTCAAATCAGAATACTGCGTTTTTCTAATGAATATTTTATTTTTCTAACAAGGTTACTCATTTTTCAATTAGACTTTTACATTCGTTCTCAAATTGTCGATTGAACGTCTCACCTGCAAAAACAAAGCGAATAAATTTTGTACACATTTTAGAAAAAACGAATAAATTTTACAAATATATGATAGTTACTCACTTTCTTCTCACTTGGCGAGTAAAATAGGCAGATTGGCCTTATACGAGTATAACTATATGAAAATTATTGTTAGGCTTAATATAAAGTTTTCAAATAGAAAATTTTTCACGATTTTTTGATAGTTTTACTTTACAAATAGAATGTTAATATAGAACTTTTCAATGAAGTTGGTCAACCATCATCTAACAAGAGTTTTTTTTTTTATCATATAAAGGTGTTAATAACATATGACTACTGTTTTTTTTAATTTCCCTTATCAGAATGCGCACTTTGGAAATCTGACAGCGAACGATTATTATGATTTATTGTAACATTCATATGATAAAAAACAAAAATAGTCTTTTCACTAAATTTTTATTGTCATTTTTCTATTATATCACGTAATCCATCATCAATGAATTCATATGAGAGGGAATCGAATTTACTCAAATCCGGAAATTCATAGTATATTTAAATAAATATATTTAAATAATTGCATATTAAAATGCTTGATTATAAAATCAGTACTCATATCCAAAATTTACATGCAAGTGAAAGATTATTAAAGAAAACAAAATAAATTCGACAATTTTTGTTAAAATCGTTGGTCACAATAAATAAATATTTAGAAATAATTGGTCATTGATAAGAATAATTCTTTTTATAAAGCAATTTAAACTTACGTTACTAAAAATATTTTATCCACATTTAATCAAAAATATTTACTAAATAAATTGGGGGTTTTCACTCATTTATGTGTTATTGCAAAAGTATGGAAATAAGAAAGTAACTTTCTTTGAACTAGTTGGCGGTCGAAGGAAATTATTGATGTAAAATTGTAAAAAAAAGTTGACAATCATATATTTTTTATTTAGTAGTCCGAAAATAATTAAGAAAATTATTTTTTTTATTCACAAATTGATATTTAATAAATAACACAAAAAAAAAAATTTTAAATTATTTTTTAAAACAGTAACATTTTTTTAAATGTACTTTTTGAAATTTTAACACATAACCTTTTGCACTAATCAGTGAAAACCCATATGTAGTTTGATATCAAGTGTATTAGCATAAAATTTTAAGATGTGCAATATTGGAATTATGCTTTAATATTTAATATTTATGTATGCTTAGCCTCATGCTTTAATATTTAAAATAAAAGCATTTTTTATAAAAATAAGTTTTAGTTATGCTGAATTTGCATATTGCAATTAACTTGATTATTTCCATTAATTTTTGAAAGGCGGATTGTAAAGTGGCAGAAACAAAGTTACGCACAGCTGAAGCTCAACGATCAAAACTAGAGCAATCAATTCAAAAAGAAAAACTGGAACGCTCAAAAAAATATAGACTGACTAAAAATGAAGTGCTCAAAGTAAGTAGAATATGTATTTGTTTCGAATATGTACAAACATATATACTTTTATTGTAAAATACATTTTACTAATAGTGTATATCTTTTTATATCTTCCATTAAAGAGAAAAAGTAAATATACTGATGCAAGACTGAAGGCTTTAAAAGCCAAAAACGAATATCAACTTTGCCTTGAAGCAGCGAACACAACAATTCACAAATATTTTGTAGAAGATTTAAGTGATTTAATAGATGTAAACATTCGTAATACTTAGTTCAAAATTAAATTATTAACGAATTTGAAATTTTATAGTGTATGGATTTGGGTTTTGGATCAATGATTTCACGTGCTATTTTAATGCATGTAACAGCTGATCAAGGAAGATGTCGTGCAGTACTACAAAATGCAGATGTACTTTCTCATATTATACAATCTATGGACAGTAGAGCTGATAAACAAAAATTTTTGGAACAACATCATGGTGCATTTATGATACCTAAACGTATTGAGTTTCAAGGTCAAGTTGAAGAGGAAATTGAACCAGAATTACAAAAAACATTGCATGCAGATATGGAACAAAGATTAAATTTACTTAATCAGCGCTTAAGTAATCTGAGAGCTGAATCTGAAGAAATTTGGAAAACATTGGAAACAGCAGAAATAACATTACTAGAACATTTAAATGCTAAAGATTATGATACATCTGGTTTATTTGGTGATGGTACTCATGTAAATCAGCAAACCAAAATGGCAGATATATCAAGTAAATCAAAATCAGAAAAACAAGAGATCGAAGAATTTTATATTACTGTAAGATGTTTTTATTTGATTAATTTAAATAGAACTAAATAGCCCCTATTTCAGAAAATACGAGAATATATACTTGGAACATCACGTATAGCTCGCCTTGATGCCAAAGCAGAGTTAATTAGAAATGCTTTAATTAAAGATTCTACAGAAATTAACGATCAAATTGCCAAATCAAATGTGCCAAAACGTAAACGCATTGGTAGAATTAATATGTCTGGTCAGCCAAAATTATTTGGTGGTTCATTGGAAGAATATTTAGAGGCAACCAATGAAGAAATTCCATTGATTATGCGCAGTTGTATTAGGGTTATAAATTTGTATGGATTACACCATCAAGGTATATTTCGTGTTTCTGGTTCTCAAGTAGAAATATCAAACTTCCGAGAAGGATTTGAGCGTGGTGAAGATCCATTAGCAGATACAACTGATGCTTCTGATATAAATTCCGTAGCTGGAGTTTTAAAATTATATTTACGAGAATTGAGAGAACCACTTTTTCCAATAATATATTTTGATCATTTCGTGTCTTTAGCACGTAAGCATAATAGACTAACTATGTGGTTGATGAAACTTTTACAAATGTTTTTTTTTATAATATTTTTGTATAGAATTAGAGTCTAAACATGAAATAGTCGTTGGAATAAAGAAATTTTTGCAAAGTCTCCCTCGTGCGGTTGTTATTGTTATAAGATATCTTTTTGCATTTTTACACCAGTAAGTGAACCCAGTTTAGATTAATTTTGTTTTTGAATACGTAACCACAAATATTTTGTTTTCGAATTTCAGTTTGTCAGAATACTCAGATGAAAATATGATGGATGCATATAATTTAGCTATCTGCTTCGGGCCAACATTAATGCCCGCACCAGAGGATAAAGACCAAGTTCAATATCAAAACCAAGTAAATGAATTGATTAAGAACATGATTGTATACCACGCTGAACTGTTTCCAAAAGACTTAGGTGGACTTCAATATGAAAAGTATATATCAGACGAACCCTTTATGGACATGTAAGCAAATCATAGTTTTAAATCTAATATTTTTCCTTACAAAAGTTTGAACTTTTTAAGTGATGTTGGAGATTCTCCATCTGATCATGATCAAGTTGTTGAAGATCCAGATTCAGAAGTTTACCCATCAGAAGATGGTAATTTTTAAAAGCAATTCACATGCAGTTTAAAAGATTATACTATTACTTTCAGAATCTGATATACTGGAAGCGATAGTTCAATTTGACTTTAAAGCACGTTCCAACAGAGAATTGTCGTTGCGAAAGGGAGATACAGTAGTATTAAGGAAACAAGTACGTCACTGTCTTTTTATTTATAAAAAGATTTTTGATAATTGAAATTATAAAAGTATAATCGTAGTAAATAAATTATTATGATAAACGAAAATAAAAAAATTGAACTTAAAATTTGTGCAGTTCAAATTTTTATCAAACATTTATGAAAAAGCTTGTTGACTTTTCGATTCAAAATTAAAAAAAGAGAATAATGATTATTTTTTAGGTATCCAACGATTGGTGGCAAGGTACTATAGACGGCAAAGAAGGATTAGTTCCAGATAAATATATTTCACTTAAAATCAAGTAATAGTAAAGTTACCATTTAATTTGAAAAATCGCACAAATTGAATTATAATTTTAGGGGTGAAGATCAAGTTAAATGTTCAAGTTCTGAAGAATCTGTCAGAAAAAGGCGGCCCAGTGGCAACATGCAGACTAGCAATCAATTGTCAATTGCAAAACAGCAAACTATGCAACAACAACAATCATTGAGCAGCAACGAAACATCAGTTATACTATCAGGTGGAAATGATCATCATCAGTTTCAACATCAGCAACAACAACAACAGCAACAACAATTGCAACAGCAACAACAAATGCAACAACAACAACAAATGCAGCAACAACAACAAATGCAACAACAACAACAACATCAGCAATATCATCTCCATCATCATGGCAATGAAATACATAAGAGCCCGTCGATGGTTTTAATTGAAGATGGAAACATTTGTGGGGGTGTAAGTGGTGGCGGAGTTTCACATACGACAAATTTGAATAATATATCACAACAAATGAGCAGTGAAGATTTATTAAGTGAAAAATTTCATCAAAATACAATAAATAATACCACCATTAATAATGATAAAGAATCAACATCATCAACTGCATCCACTGATTTGAATAGTAGTCTGCCAACAAAGTACAGTTATCATGATGAAATTCATTCCTTTGAAAATTCAATGGAATTTTCAGAAGAACTGAGTCATTTTCCTTTTGAGGTACTTGAAACAACAGTTTGAAAAGTATTATTGTATCATAAAAATCTATTTTTTGTTTTATTTTGATATCATATAGAGAAAAACAATTTCAAATAATGTTTGAAATTTTTTTTAACTAAGAGTGTGTACTATCATCAAATCCATTCACTTTATAAATGATAATGATAGACTATATCTTTATAATATGTGTTATTTGCAAAATATTTTTTTATTAAAAATCAAAAACAGAATTTGGTTGAGCAAATCTTATGATGTAGATGTGTTTTTTTTTTTTTTTTGGTTAAATCATAGAAGCAATTATATATTTTTTATCGAGATATTAATTCAATTTTTGTATTTGCATTCTATTTGCAAAACTTATAATTGCAATTATATTTTAATATATTTTTACAATTATTAGAGTGAGTGTTGTGTGAGGTCGTATATGTAGATCAACTTCTGTTTTTAAATTTAGTGCTCGTAGTAAAATCATGTGTTATGTATGTGTATTGATTTTCGTTTATTCTAGATGTTCTTTTTTAAAAAACAATTTCTCAATAATAAATTTAAGTACGTAATAAACAATAATTTACAATAGTAAACTTAAAAATATTAAAGAAAGTATTCACATTTTGTAGGTTTATCACAGCAACGTTATTATTTTAAAATTTTTATTTAATTCAGTTTATAAATATGTGAAGAAATAATTTTATATTTACATTTTTTAAGTTTTGAAATTTACGTTAATTGTCACAAAAGATGTCAAAGATTTTTCTTTGTTTTTCTAAACTAATGTTTCACAAATTAAAAATCTTCATTTATTTTATAGGTTTAAAGTAGAAATTAGGTAACGTCCATCTTATGTATAATAAATTTTATAAATGAAACATTTTGTTTATATAATTCTTTTAAATTACAAGAATAAGCTTTTAATATAAAATGTAGTTTCTTATTCAATAAAAGTCTAATTGAATTTGTCATAAGCATTGCGATAAATTTATGATCTAAAAAATACTAAATAGCGTGCTTCTAAAATTATACATCTATATAATGCATAACTGTGATTAATCATCATTGAAATGTTTACATAAAATACGGATATTTTATATAAATATAATGAACAATAAATTATGTACTATACATAATTTCAAAAAATCGTTTATACAATTAAAAAAGCTATTTGAATTAATCCACCGTACATATAGTATTAAAATTTGGCGATTCGCTAAAATTTATGTATTCATATATAAATCTTTACAAACAACAAAAAATTAAAACTACAAATTTCTAATAAGTTTTTATAAACATAACAATTTCAATTTGAAATAAATTTATCGTACAAATCTGTCCGTTAAATAAGAATTTTATTATGTTGATTTGAAACATAATTGTTTTCAAAATTTATGGTGCTGCAACTCATTTTTGAAACAATTTTATAAAAGTGCTATCTTTTTATACTATTGCATAGTTAATTAAGAAATTTTGCTGTATACATAAAAAACAAATACAATAAGAATCAGATTTGTAATCAATATTATAGTAATTATTATTTTTATCTTAAAACAATTTTAGGGAAGTTAAACACTCCATCTTCTTCAAAATAATGTGAAAGATCTAGGTTTTAAATTTAAATAATCTTTTTTGTTTTATTTTTAACTAAAGTGCATAACAATCAAAAAGTAACAATTCATATTTTTGTTAAGTAAATTTAATGATAAATTACTTTACATATTTAACTGATTGTTTTGTTATCGTTGGGGGAAATGAAGATTAACTATTTTTTTTTTGTAATTTTATAAGAGTTAAAGGTATTCTAAAGCATAGTATATTTTACTTCGCTAAGGAATGCAATTAATTGTCTCTTATAAAATTTTTTCAGCAAATAAATATTAAGTTATCTTTAAGTTTTTTTTATTCAGCCATACTAATTAACTTTAAATCTTTTTGTGCTTCTTCAAATAATTTGAAATTAAGTATAAAATCAAAATATTAAGAAATCAAATTATTTTGCTGTTTTTGTTTCATCAAATATAAAAAATACTAATTATTATTAAGTTGTAAAAGCGAAGCATTTTCTTTTGTGTACACAACTGACCCGATTAAAATAATTATCGCTAATTTAATTTATGCACTCACTTTTGATGTCGCAATATTTCTCTTATCGAAATTTTTAAATACTCTTCTAAATAGATTTTCTTTATTTATATAATTGCCTATTAGGATAAGCATATCTTATAGAAACGAATATTGCATCGCAAAAACTATTGAAAGTGATAACGGAATGGTTGATTTTTTGGACTTCAAATTATAATAAGTGTGTAATTGCAATATATTACATGTTGTTACATCTGTAAAGAATCGAAAAGAAATAAAAAATAATTTAAGAAATCATTTAAAATATATTAGTATTATGTAATTACATTTAAAATAAAGAAAATATTTAGTGTTGTTATAACACTTAAAAATCTTTGAAACTTAGATTTTAAGAAAACGAGTAGCAATTATAAGATTTAAAATTTTGTCAATAACTTAAAATTATCAAATATTTTTATATTATTAATATTAATAATGTAATGTTTTCTTTACCGTATTGTTAAACTTATATATTTGTGCTTGTTTCTTTTTTTTTTTTAGTTTTTAATATTTTTTTTTGTAAATTTCGAAACCTTTTTTTGAAATTTCCAAATTACATGGGATTATTCAAGCGTCTTATGTTAACTTTAGTATATCAAGATAATAAATTGTAATATAACTTGGGAGCTCTAAGGAATAAAATAAAGAATATATTACAATATACTATTTTTAAATTTTTAATATTAGAATTTAATATCATAAATTTAATAAAAAATAAGTGTTCCCTATTTGTTTTGTGTTGTTATGCGGAATCTCATTCAAACGTTTGAAACGAATTTTCCATAATTAATTATTCTGTTTCTATATTTTTCTCTTTTATTTAGGAACTGTTTTTTAATTATTGGTACATAGTTACGTAAAAATTTTGAAATATACAAAAGTTTTTGATAATCGTATAATATTTTTTGGCTGTATCTGTGTCATACTTAAAATTATCTTATTTTAGGTTATTAAATTCAAAATTTATTTTTCTAGCTTTTAGAAAAAAATTATCAAAATTAATTAGTTTTATACACATTTGCATGAAAAATCAAAAAAAAAAATATATAATTTTTTAGTGTAAACAATTTAAAAATTAAAAAAAAAATAGTAATTAATTTAATTTTTATATTATTAATTTATACTTTAAAATTTATGTTTCTTTTATTTTAAAAAAGTATATACATATATGCATTATAAAAGTGTCTTTGTAAAAGTTATAATTTATATAAATATATATTTTTCGAAATAGAATGTTTCGAATAGAATTTATTCCTTTAAATGTTGTTTTTTTTCTATTTACTTAGATTTGGACATTATCTTATGTTTTATCATTTTTAGGAATGTAAAAATTAGATTTTAGTTTTTTGTAATCAAAAAAGAATTTTGACTAATAGTAAAACTTTAGATTAATATATAGTATTAGAGCGTATATAATAAATATTTTAATTAACATATTTTTTTTGTAGAAACTAAATTTTTGTTTTATGTCATTATTGATTATACTAAGAAATGATTTCTAACTTACGATCGAATTATATATTTCTATCGAATAAAAGGAATTTTTTATTATTTTTAAAATATTGTGTTAAAAACAAAATTTTTCTTGCTACTTAATTTTGTTACAATATTTTTATATAAGTTTCTCCATTTCTACAAAAATTTGAGTTAATTTTTTGCCTAGATAAAAGGTAATTTTTAAAAAATATTATGCTGAAATTTAAAGGTAAAAGAGAAAAAAGAAAAATTAATGTGTTTAATTTTCAGTTCCATTAAACAGGACAATGACTTGATATGCACAATTCCATTGAAGTTTCAGTTCAAGTTAAACAAATTATGTTTAGCAAATATTAAGTTTCATTCAAATTAATTTAAGCCAAAGTATTCGGTAACTAAAACTAGTATCGTACACTAAATATTTTATTCATTCACTCTGTCATATACTTTTAAATTATGTTTTTGTAAAACTATCAATTTTAATATACCAGAATAACTCGAATGAGATTTCGTTTAATTTATTTGTTTTTAAATTAAAATTACCATTTATACAAATTTTAAATCAGTTTCATAATTAAAAATTTATTTATAAGTGAGTAAAAAAAGTGGATTGAAGTTAAATTAAATAATTGTGTATGTTTCAATTGTACTGCTAGAACAATCAGTTTGAAAACTATGAATATTTTCTGTTATTATGAATTTTATTACTCCTTTAAATATTTGTGGTAAGCAAAAGCCTACATAATGTATATAATGAATAATACATAGAACCTATTAATATATAAAGTAGACAATTCCAAAATGCCAGCTAATAATTTCTAAATAATAAACACTAAAATTACAAAAAAAAACAAGCGCTAATTAATTAATTAAATAAAATGGTAAAAGTTTACATGAGGAAATTTAATAATCATTTTTATTATTATTTTATTATTAAAATTTATATTTGATGGAAATAATTTTTTAGTATTCTGGATTTATTTATTAACTATTTTATGATCAATAATAACTTTGTTTTTTTGCTTGCAAAAAACTATTAATATTCTAATATTTTCGAATGTTATTAATTTAATTTAAAAAATAAATTGTAAATTTTTAATTTTAGGTGAAGAAAACTGCAAATGAACCGATTTATGCTGAACCAAATAAAGTCCCACAGCCAATTAAAAAAGACTCTATTGAAGACCAAGATCAAGTTGAAATACGATTTTCTGAGCATGATAGACCATTGTTTCCTCAAGGAAGGCGTTCAGAAAATGTTAATATGTTACATGGTGCAAATGATGATAAAAGTCCGTCATCAGAACAAATGAAATTAAATCGTCATTCAGCAGATAGCAATTTAGGATGTTGTAGTACTAGTGGCAGCAGTAGTAGTAGTAATATCAGTAACAGTAGCAGCAAGGACAGTAACAGAAATTTGTTTCGTCTTAACCGAGATTTATGGGAAAAAAGAGCTGAGAGTGGTTTACAGGGAGGTAGTTTTAGTCAATCTAGGATATTGGAAAGGACTAGAGATGCACCGGATTTAGTTATGGATTTGCCATTATCTGATCATAAGAATGCTGCTACTAGAAGTTCAATAGATTGTTTAGATATGGAGGTAAAATGGATTTTAATGAAATATAGTTTGTTGATATAATGTTATTTTGACCCACAATTTTATACATACATATTTGAAAAAAAGTAATATAAAAAAAAACGGATATTTTTTTTTTCTAAAGTTCTAAAAATATTTTTTTACAATCGTTACATTTACATAAATTTCTTTTAGCTTTTGGATGAATTAACATCAGCAGAACGCTTTGCTTCACAAAATCAATGCACTTTGAAAAAGAATGAAAGATTTTCTACATCAACAGATTCTTCACTTCATAAAAGTGAGGAAAAACTTGATACCAAAATTATTGAAAAACCTAAAGCAAAAGTAAAGCCGCAACAAGCAGAATCTCTTGATACTAGTTTGGGTTCAGAAGGAGTTTCTGTTGGGGGTGCTAGTGTTAGTGCAGCAATTGTTGAAAAAATTAAACATTTAGAAGAAGTATTGCACATTGACGAAGGAAATTCAGAGACATCATTATTTGGCCCAAAAGAATTAATTCAAAAAAGTCCAATTCCAACTAGAAATACTCAAAAATATGTTTCGCAATTCGCTGATTTGAAATTAACTGGAGGTTGTCAACCAGATACTGTATCAGCCGGTACTAGTTCTTTAGGTGTTGGTATTCCAAGTAGCTTCACTAAATCTCTTACTACCACCGCAACTACACCTGAACCACTTCAACTATCTTCATTTAAACCACAAGTAAAAGTGAAACCCCAAATTTTGAAAAAAACTTTTATACGGACTCCAACAACGCCAGAAGCCAAACGAAAAAATATGGATATTGATCAGCATTAAAATAAAAACATTAAAAATGAAATTGAAATAATTTATATATACATTTACCTTTTAAACTATTATATCCTTAATTATTATTATTATTATTATTATTATAAAAACTATACATCTTATAATAATTATTATACATACGTATATACAACATAATATGTAACTTATAACTACTATAAGGTGCATTACAGAAATAAATAGTTAAACTAAAATTGTGCAAGATTTTTTTTTAAATAATGTTTTTACAAAGTTCATTAAAATCAATATCGTAAATATGTTCTTATCGCTAACTGTAAGTTATGTATGATTAATTTCGTAAAATAAGATAAATGAATTTATTAAAAGATGTTGAGTACTTTGTGGTAAGTATGAATAACAACTTTTCTTCATAACTTAGTAAATATAAATTCAATTTAATCAACTTTTTGTACATCGATTTTATATTTTTTTATTTCTTTCGTAAATAAATATTTAAGTTAGTTGTTAAACCCTATAACGTATATAAACTGAAATCATTAATGAGAGGGTGTTTTAAATAATGAAATTGGATTTGAAATTCTAAAGGTGGATATGCTTCGCCGTATTTACGTTAACTAATTTGATTGCATTATTGTCATCTTTCTCTTCAAATAAGATACACTTGTCTTTTTTAATATAAGTGAGCTTCGATTCTGATGTTCTACCAAACATTTGAAAAACTTCGAAAATTGAGTTGAAATTGAAAATCATAATATTTCATTTATCTTAATTATTCTAATATGTACATACATAATAATATGTGCTATAATGTTTAAGTTTATCAAATGTATGTGAGTATATATGCACATGTATTCACATCATAATACGAAAAGGGACCATTTACTTTTTTGATCCCAAATATCTACTACATCATTTCTAGTATAATGATGTTATTAGTAAAAGCAAGTATTAATTAATAAATATTTTTAGGCACAAAACTACAAAATTTTATTTAAATAATTAAACAAAATATTATATGCTTTCACTTTTTAGTTTCAAAATTTATTCTCATATTTTACAAAATAACACGATGAAATTAATTTAGACTTAATTATATATTGCTCTTATGTAACATATTCTTGACCCAAAAATTTGATAATTTTATTAATAAAATTCATCGCTTAAGAACCCAAAATTTAAAATTAGATTATTATTCTAATATTACGTAGTCTATATGAAACTCACAAATTAAATAATAAAATTTCCAATTCAAAACAATATTTTAAAAAGAGGCTATTTGTCTTCGTTACATTGATGAAATATCAAAGTTTGAATTTTAATCAAATAATTTGCAAAGTTTTAGAATTAAAAATTTTTGTTTAAATTTGAAAAAAAAAAATGCATTTCTAAAACAAATTGTGATATGAATATTTTAAAATTATTTAAACTTGAAATGAAAAGCATTTTTTTAGGTGAACAACCTACAAAACATGTTGAAATATCTAAATTATGCATTTTATACATATTTTATTTAAATTCTTTAAAAAATTATTATTTAAATATTTAGCTTTGTATGTACGTATACATATGTATGTATATAAAATTATATATAAAAATATTCAATGATTGACAATTTAATGTCTTATTTTATTCGTTTATATCTTGCATATTAAAATTTGAACTTATATTTCCAATTTTTGGAATTACATCTAATAAAATAATGACCGTGTTATTATAACATGACAATATAAATTATGCACTACAATATATGTATGTATGTACATATTTATGTAACGAATTAATTTATATTACTGAGTACATATAAACGAATTTAAGAATATTAGTAGAAAAATTAAACTTAGTTACTTCTATTTTATGTATTTTGCATATGATAGTTCACTTATGGTATTGTATTGAACTACTGATGAAATTACGTGATAATTGAGAGACCGCCAAAAAGGCATTATTAATAAGTATAAAAAAAAAGTAAAAAATAATTTTTATACAATGAAACTTGAACTGCTTTTAGAATACTAATTATAAATAGAAGATGATGGAATGAAAAAGGTTTACAAAGTAAAGTTGATAAAGATTTATAAATAGAACTTTTGGGTGAATATTACTTTCAGTTGTAAATGAATATTTCGAGTATTAATCAAAAACGTATAATAGATCGACTCTTTTAACTTTTTCAACTGATAAATATTTTGTAAAAGGATAATGATAACGGTACTAATATATATTATGAAAATTACACTATATAAAATTTAATTACAAATATTTGACTGCGGCACATAATTAAAATTAACAAAGCTTTTAATAAAACGAAACGTGAGAATTTGTTCAAAAAATTTTGTGAATTATAAGATATATAAAAAATATTGTTGGTTGAAAAATTAAAATATAATAGGTGTTTTTGCATCATTTCGGTGATTAAAAATTAGATTTTTAATTTCAGTTCTCAGACTTATAATTAAAGAAATATTCTACGCTTTAAAATCCTGTTTTTGTTTAAAAGGCTTAATATATTTACCAGTAACACTTCAGTTTTGCTTTTGCTTCTTGTTTAAAACACGTATTTTAGTCACAAAATTCATTAATTTCATATTTTTTTATTCATACATCAGGAATTTAATATTATTATTAATGAAATTTATTTTATTATAGATTTTTAGTTTTTTTGCCTTATTAACACTTTCAGTGGCAGTTCCTCAATACCCTCCATCAGGATGGAGGCCCAGAGGAACTCCATTTGTATTGCCACGTGAATATCTACCATCAGCGCCATTGAAAGCGGCAGCACAACATGAAATTAATCGAGAACGTTTAGAATATATTGGACAATATCAAGTAAGAGAGCCAATATTTGGACATAGAGCAAATATAGAGCAACCCGAGCCTCAATTGCAGAATGAATTTCAATTTCAATCGCAGCAGCCCCAACCACAACTACAACAGTCACAGCAACCACAACAACCGCAATATCAACCGCCACCCAAGCCACATGCTACATATTTAACTCCATCACCTGATATTCCAACTACAACAGAACAATATGTTGATGATTTTTCAACGACAACAGAATACTTTACAACAACAACGGCTACCCCAAACGAGGAAAATTTCTTAAAAGTTCAAGGATTACCATCACTTAATAAACCTGCTCAATTTAGAAATCTAAATAAAGTTATGCCTTTGAGTACAAACACATTTTCTCAACAACAAAACTCAAATACAAAAAGTGGTCAATTTAGGCAGCAAGAATTTCAACCCGAAAGATCTGTTACACAACAGTCTCGCCAACAACAAGGCCTCAAAGAACAGGTTGCCCTTGTAAGTACTGAAACCGGCAAATCTGGAAAACAAGCTGTAGATCCTGTTTCAAATACTTATGGTGCTCCAGAATCAGAAATTCCTGCAAATACTTACGGAGTCCCTCAAATAGCTAAACAACCAGATAATGAAGTTTCAAATTCAAAATTGCCAACAAATGAAAATAATAGCGGCAGTAATGAAAGTACTGAAGATTCTAATGAACAACAAACTACAGATAATTTACAAGGCAATGTTGCAATCTCTAATTCAATCAACAGAAATGGTCAGTATTACATATTAAGTCCGGACAATATGTTGCAAAGGGTTCTTTTTATGACTACACCAAATAAAGGTGACACAGGCTTTACAGCTCAATTAAGATATATGCCAGTTGAACCGATTCGAGATCCAATTTATGCTTATAATGAAAATGGACAATTAATTAGGATATTCAGAAAATAATTTCATACCCACCAAAGAATATAAATTTACACAATTGTTATTATTTTAACGTTATTATTTATTATGATTTTTTTTTAAATTACTAAAAATTTTTGAGACAAAATTTTCTAATAAGAATGTGGAGTATGCTTGTATAACGATTATTTAATTGTATTATTCTTAAGTTTTGTATTATTTAATTTTGGCAAACTTACGTAATATGTCATAGTGCATAAATGCATAGAGCATAAATGAGTCCAATGGCCATTAGGTCGTTGGATGGTATGATATATTAATATATTATTCATTAGTCAAATCTAAATATCTCTTCAATCTTATTTTAATTAAAAAAACATTGAAACTGTAAAATTAATTTTGATACCAATAAAAATCCATTTTTCGACGATTTTTTTTTGATTTTTTGAATAATAATGAATACATACATATGTATGTATGTACGTACATACATACATTATCAAAACTGTGATGTATCATGGAAGTAATCTTTTAAGCTAAACCTGTTAACCGGTAATCCACTTAGTTATACAATGTTGTATCCAGTTATAACAGTTGAGCACGCATTTTTATCAATAATTATTTATATATATTATATATTATTTATATATATATATTATTTTCTTGCATAAATTACTCTTCTTTACTGTCCTTTTAAAATTGTGCATCCTTCCTATTTAAAATACTGCAAATACATGAATCGGTAAAGCTCGAAGATTTATTATTAATATTGCTTTTTTTTGCGAATTTGGTAACGATAAAGTGAAGTAAGAAATACTACATATATATGTACATCATCAACAATGAAAAACAAAATTAAATTTTAAAATTATTAATTTTCAGTGTTGTTCAATTTTTCAATTTATCCTACACTAGATAGCGCTCAATTTCTTTTTTTTTTATCTTACACTAGATAGCGCTTAATAACATGAAAATTTTTATTCATTACTTATTTATAATTCATTACTTCTAGATGACTCTGTTAAAAGTACTAATTTTCATAAATTAACATCCGAAAATCCTAGTAGTAACTAGATGGAGCTTAATTTCGAATACATTTTTTAAACAATTTTGAATTGGTTCGAATCTATAATAAAAACCCAGGCAAATCGGATAAAATATAGTGGTAAAAATCCATGATAATAAAACATGTAGGAAAACTTAGCGATTACAAAGTAGAAAATAGAAAAATAATATCGTTAGGGAAATTAGGAAAACATTTTTTAACACTATTAATTTTTTCTCTCATATTATGTGAGCTCAATAATAATTTTGTGGAAAGTAAAGTGACTATCAAACTTTTTTTGTACTTCTTTAAATTTATATTTACGCTATTCAAATCAATAATGTTGAAAATAATACATAGATATATGTATGTATGTATAACTATTAATACACATTCATATGCATTTGAATGGAGAAATAAGGATAAGGAAGATTTAGTAATTTTTTAAAAGAAATTGGTATTTTTTTTTCTTCATTGGTTCTTCATTTTTTCTTATTATGATTTCAAAACTGTAATTAATGCCCTTCATTAATTCAAATTGTAATTAGAAAAGGTACATTTTCCAGATAATTGTAGAGCAGATATATCCCTGAGGTTTTGATGTAATGGCCTGACAGGTTCAGGTAGCGACCATACAACAATAAAAGCTTATTCTAAATATTTCAAAAACAAATTTTTATGCTTGGATTATCAAGGTGCTGGGTATATTCAAGTTGGTTTATACCGACTGAAACATTTTTTGTTGTTTTTATTTTAATTCAAATTCATCTCAAATGAGCCCAGTCGCCTGGGCTCATAACAAAAATATATTTTAAAGAAATGCAAAGGAATTAATTAACAACAAGTAGTAATTGAGATACTTAACGTATAGTTCATTCAGGTATTAAAAATTTATAATTACAAAGAAATTTCTAGATCTTGGAATTCTGAAAATTCTCTTATGTACAGATGTTTAACGAAATTAGGTGGCTAATTTTTAAAAGCAACTTCCTCATATAGCATTGTTAAATTCACAATAGTTAATTAGTTACGTTTTACGTATGTTCGAAATTTGCCTTACCGTTTAGAAATAATGTTGTTATAGAAATAAGATATAAATTCAGGTATATGATTTTGATCAGCGTCGAATTCTGAGTCGATTTAGCTTTGCCTGTAACTATATAACTGTAACAAAAATAACTCAAAAACTAATTAAAGCTAAATTTACAAAGTTCTCACAAATCATTTATTATAGTTAATGCCAGAACCTTATTTAAATTGGTTATGAACGAGGTTCTGGTTCGGGTAGCTGCCATATAACTCCCAAGTTTATTTGGCTATATCTCAGAAACTATAAAAGCCGTCTTATTGAAATTTCGCAAAAGCGAATATATTAGTAGGGCTAATGCGTTTGATAAAATTCGTTGAAATTGCTTGGCTCCTACTGGTAGCTGACACACAACTTGAAAAGTTATTTAGCATTGTCTCATTTGTCCTACAGTCAGCCATGGTATATTTACTCGCACATAGGATAACAAAATTGTACGGATATCACAGAGTTGACACGTTCATCTCCATTTTTTCTCGTTTTTTTTAAATCCTAAAAAATGACATCATTTTTTCTGAAAATAAAATCACACTAAAACCAATTATTGCTGTTAATATCACCACATTTGATTTCTTTTTTTTTTTTGTTGGAAGGCCAATTTTTTAACAAACACAAGTACCTTGAATCATCTACTAATTTTTTCCTACTAATTCAATTCAATTAATCATGATCAGCATATGATTATCATCTGATATAATTTTTAAATATATTAAAAATTTCTTAATAGGCAAATATTTGTTATATTGTATATGGATTACGTACACATGTAATTGAATATAACACCTCAAATTACTCAATTATACTATGTATGGATGTATATTCGGGTAAACTACGTTATTCATTCACAATTTTCATCAAATTTTTGCAAATATAAAATTTCTGCCCAAAATAGAAAATTCATTATAATGAAAACTGTTCAAGATAGAAATGTGATAGCATAGAATTGAGAGAAATATGTCAGTTATCAATAATTTCTTTACAAGAGAAAAATATTTTCAAGAGAATTTTATCTTAGACTGACCAAAAATGAATTACATATATTATAAAAAAAAAGCATGGAAAATAAATTCTGCTAAGTATCTTTAAATGAGCACCTGAATAATATGGTTTTGAAGTTGAGTTTGAGGCCTTATCACATTTGAAAGTGATAAGGCGTCAAACTTAATTTACTTTTACAATACTCTTATTCTTTATATGACATAATGCATATATATTATATACTATGAATGTTTGAGTGTATATATACCTAAGATGTGCATACATGTGTGGTAATACATATGGTGTATATAGACGGAATGAATTAAATAAATTACAAACTAATAACATTAATTTAAAAATTATTTAAAATTGAAAATAAAATTTAAATATACAAGTAAGTTAGTTTTTAAATGAGTGCGTGTACACATACATGCGTAGAATGAAAAAGGATAATGTGTATGAAAGTATGTATGTAAAATTAATTAAAAGCAATAATGTTATTAAAAATAATGCAATTAAGGTCAATGAAATTATTACGTACAGAATTTAATCAAAATGCCACTTAATATAAGTATTAGAACAAAGTTTAAATATGGACATATATATATATATATATATATATATATATGTGATGTACATTTCAATAACTCCACTAGGCATCGTTCTATTTTAATTAACTGTAATTTATTAATATGTATGAATAATTGAATTAGTATGGTATTAAATTACAAAATAAGTTCATAGGTTACAAAATTTTTAATTATGCATTTTGTATAGGATTGTATGTATGAATGTGTTATTTTACAAGCTATATCCCTACATTATATTTTAAAATTTTGAAATGCATATGTATACGTATGAGTATGTCAGCAGAGGTTTTAAACAATAGACAGATTGAAAATTTGATTTAATTTGTCATGCTCTCATACAAGAAGGAAAATAAGAATTTAAAATTTAATTTAAATTTTTTTTTTCACAATCATTTCATAATTTTTAATTGGACCATATTCTTCCCGTGTTATTCAGAGAAATGTTTATATTTTACTTACTAATCCATCTATGCATGTACATATTCTGGATTCCAATTACAAGAAATACATACATACATACATAGATCAATCATTTGATCTCTTTTCCAAAGTAACTTAAATTTCTAATTCATGTTTTCCCTATTAAAATTGCAATTTGCCTTTAGAGACTCGAGTTTAACAACTTCTATACTTTTAATTATTAAATTGTATGTGCACTTGTTATACATACAATTTACAAATATAAAATATTTTTAAATTTTAATATTTATTTTTAAATAAAAAAAAAAATGTTAAATCATTTCGAAAATTTAATTTATTCCCGTTATTTCGTCATACACGCATATTGTTTAATTCCCTAAATATTTCTTATTTTGGTTGTAATCGATTTCTGCTTCTTATATAAGAAATTAACTTTACACTAGCAATCTTGCCTGCTTTTATATAAAATCAAATCTTGCATCTTGCTACGTATGTATGTGCAATAACAGTTGCCGCTTTTATAAAACACAAAATCGGGACAGAATTTTAAAATTATGAAAAATAGCGATGAAGACAAATTAACAGTACAGTCTGTGAAGGCATGCTATAGCTATGTCGTACCCAATTGCTATTTCAACCGCAGTAGTTAAACATTTCCGTCTTGAATTCGCGGTAGAGAAGTAGAAAACTAAGAAATGTCATTAATTTATTGGAATTCCAGCAATTTCTAAATTTGCAGTATTAAATTTTGAATTAGTATCGAAAAAAATTTGTGACTTGCTGAGAAAGATTTATTTTGGAATATTATGTTGAGCATCGTAGGATTCACAACAATTTCTGATAATTTTTAATAATTAATTTTGATGATTAACGTTAATGATAATATGATTATGACAATACCACAACACAATATTCTACCACCTGATATTCAGAGACATAATTTAAACGCTACCATATGGGGCTATAGTATCGTGGTACAACTGTTTTAAGTTATATTAATGAGTTCTGCGAGAAAAGTTTAAATCTCAAGCTGTTCTTTTAAACAGAGAGTTAGATTTTCTTATTGTGTTAAGACAATTTACATAAGCATAAAAGTTCTGAAAATTTTGTAATTCACAAGGACATTCTTTTAGATACTTTATGTTTCTACGTTATTGGGTTGAAAACGTCAAGTTTAAGTCTGAAGTCAGGAGGACGGGAAATCAATTCAAAAATGGGGTGATCTCCCCGAAATTGGGATATC